ATTGTTGACATTAATGATGAACAAACATTTGACAAATAATCTTACAAAGATAATAAAGAAATTGGTGTGAACAGGAGAGGGCCACAGTTACAGAGGCACAAGTATTAGGATGGCGTGCAGGAAGTTTGCTTATGATTGAGTAAAAGAAGTTAAGAAGATGTCTAAGAAAAGCATAACAAACAAGCCCACATTTTTGTTTGAGTGCTGCAAAGCTAAATGTCTTTTTTTACTTCTTTTTCTAGCATTTCATTGGCGGATGTCTGTCATGTAAAAACATTCCTTCTATTTGTGGTATCATTATTTGTAAGGCATCGATCGACTCAGACCTAGCAGAGTGGCTGGCTGTGCTATGGTTGGTGTGCTAGTGGGGTTTAGAGGATTTATTAGAGGTAAGTATATATATATAGATAGATAGGGCTATTTTCTCAGTCAAAAAGACATGATTTCCACAGCAAAATTGCTGACAAATTATGAACCATAAAGAAAATAAACCATCTTTTTATTCCTTTAAAAGATATAAAGAGAATTAGGCTAAACTTTCCCCACATTGGGTCACAATATACAATCACGCTTCCAACATCTTATTATCACGAAACCATGTTAGAGGAATCATGAAAGCTGACAAACATAATACAACTAGACAAACCCCCTTTCCCCCTCCCGACCTTAAAAAAATACATCCCTCACTCTCTATTAAAACCACCTTCTTCCCACTCTACTCTCCACTTCAACTCTTGTAATTAATCACTCTCTCTCTCTCTCTCTCTCTCTCTCTCTCTCTCTCTCAAAATGTCCAGCTTAACCAATACTTTATTCATTCTATGGTTAAGCTTGTTGTCCTGTGCCTGCACAGTACATGTTATGGCGATTTGGCCTGGAGGGAGATCAACTAGATTTTATGATTTCAAGGTCTCTTTTACTACTCTTATCATTTAATATTTGTATATTAACTGAATATGTTTCAACTTCTTTTTCTAATGACTTACAGTTTTGATCATGTCAATCAGATACAAACTATGAGAGTCACTAAACTGTGTAACTCCAATGAAATCGTCACAGTCAATAACATGTTCCCAGGCCCCGTAGTTTATGCACAAGAAGATGATAGAGTGATTGTCAAAGTTACTAATCAATCACCTTACAATGCTACAATTCATTGGTAAGCTATCAATATTTCGTCCATTAGATAAATCATTAATTAATTAATTAATGATCTTAAATTTGTTATTGGCCATTTATATATTTGCAGGCATGGAGTGAGGCAAAGACTCTCGTGCTGGTTTGATGGACCGTCTTACATTACCCAGTGCCCCATTCAACCAGGACAGACTTTCACATATGAGTTCACTTTGGTTCAACAGAAGGGCACGTTTTTTTGGCATGCTCATGTTTCATGGCTTCGGGGCACCGTTTATGGTGCTCTTATTGTGTATCCCAAGACTGGGGTCCCTTACCCTTTCAAGTACCCCCATGAAGAGCATATTATAATCCTTGGTAAAGCTGTGTAATGATTAATTAAAACTAATGCATGTAAATTGAATTTGTTCCGAATTCTTATATTTTGAAATGTGTCAGGTGAGTATTGGCTGCAGGACGTAGTACAACTTGAGCGGCAAGTTCTAGCTAGCGGAGGAGTTCCTCCACCGGCTAATGCATATACCATCAACGGCCACCCTGGTCCCAACTACAATTGCTCTGTCAATGGTAAATAATTAAGCAATTTTTTAATATAATTTATCGCTTTAACTTTTAGATTATTTAATTAATGCAATCATAATTTCAGATGTGTATAAGATTGACGTTGTCCCTGGGAAGACGTATCTATTAAGGCTAATAAACGCAGGCTTAAACATGGAGAACTTTTTCGCTATTGCTAATCACAAATTAACAATTGTGGAAGCTGATGCTGAGTACACAAAGCCATTCGTTACAGACCGTGTGATGCTTGGACCAGGACAGACCATGAACGTCCTCGTCACTGCTGATCAACCAACAGCAAAATATTCCATGGCTATGGGACCATACATGTCTGCACAGAACGTCTCATTTCAAAACATATCAGCAATTTCTTACTTCCAATACTTAGGAGCCATACCGAATAGTTTATCATTTCCAGCTAAATTACCAAACTTTAACGATAATCTTGCTGTTAAGACTGTCATGGATGGATTAAGAAGCTTAAATCCTGTTCAAGTTCCAAAAGAAATAGACAGTAACCTTTTTGTCACGATTGGATTGAATGTCCAAAAGTGCCAGTCCAAAACACCCCAACAAAATTGCCAAGGAGTTAATAATGGGGTTATGGCAGCTTCAATGAACAACATTAGTTTTATTAAGCCTAGTGTTTCAGTTTTGGAAGCTTATTATAAGAAAATTGATGGCCATTTCACAGAGGACTTCCCTGGTGCGCCCCTTAAATTCTATGACTTTGTCAATGGGGCTCCTAATAACATCCCTAATGACACACAGTCAATGAATGGGACTCGGACCAAGATCCTTGAATATGGAACTAGAGTGCAAATTATCTTGCAAGATACTGGGACCCTCACCACCGAAAACCATCCAATTCATCTTCATGGCTACAGCTTCTATGTTGTGGGTTATGGTACCGGCAACTATAATCCACAAACTGTAAATTTCAATCTGGTGGATCCCCCTTACATGAACACAATTGGAGTTCCTGTAGGCGGATGGGCTGCAATTCGGTTCACTGCAGACAATCCAGGTAATGTCTTTTTTTTTTTTTTTTTTTTTTTTCCTTTAATTGTTAAACAAGCATTGTTTCTGGATAATTATGTATGTATTGACTTGTTAGAATGTAAATATTACTACGTGATGATAAAGTTTATTTAAATGCAGGGGTTTGGTTTATGCATTGTCACTTCGATATACACCAGTCGTGGGGATTAGGTACAGTATTGATAGTGAAGAATGGGAAAGGAGAGCTGGAGACACTACCTCATCCGCCTGCAGACTTGCCCAAGTGTTAGAAATTTTTAATAAATTAAATCGCACAAAATGGGATGAATTTAGTGCAAGTGTGTAAAATCTATGGTTCATTTCTCTGACACCGTGAAATTGTGGGTGTAAAGAAGTAATGGTTGGGAAATTAATAAAACTGATAAACCATCTTTCCAATTTACTCATTTTAAATTATATAATGTTTTACGTAATGTGATTTCTACTATAAATAACGAATTGGGAAACTGATAAATTTATGTATAAAACACAGTGAGAGAACCAAAATGGTCATTATTGCCTATAACAATTCCAAAATCCAGAAAACAAACAACCCAATCACAAAATACAATCCCACATGCAGCTTAAGGGCCATTTACTTTTAGATGCTATTTTTGGGCAGACCAAATTTGAAAATATTATTGGAGTAGTAGGTAGTAGCAGTTGCGAACAGTGAAAAGGTTGTATTTTACAGCAAATAGCGATAGTTTTAAGTAATGTGAATGGCAGTGAAAGTGAGAAACAAAACAAAATTTGAAGCCCTATGCGTTATTGATGATAAACAAAGCAGCAACCATATCCAATCTTAACTTACACCAACGCACAAAAATTGTGAGAAGCATACTGATGTATGCAGCTAAACAATATAAACGAATAAAAATGCTTGGCTTTCTATGTTGCCAGGACTTGGCATCACCCTAAACCCCAAATACTGTATTCCATTAGAAATCCACATTTACCCATTAATCACAGACAAGTTAATGTCTAGTTAGTATTAATATTGATGATAATAATTCAGTTAATGCAGCAAGTGTAAATTTTACGCACAAATTTACAACATACCTTATCTGCAGCAGCCAGCAAATCAGAAAGTCAATAATAGAACTGACTCTGAGGTCACCCAGCCTTTGAAAGGCGGATAGGCCTCCTTCTTAGCCACACGTTGAGCATCACATGGACGTGGTACACCCAATAAAAAAAAAAAAAAAAAAAAAAAAAAAAGGTTGATGGAAGAGACTGTGAGACACTTTATCAAAAACATGGGGTACATGTTGAAAATCAGACATATCATCCATCTGGATTTTAAGATCCATTAGACCAGTGAAACGAATAGAATTTTAAACAAGCACCAACCCCCATAATCGCATGTTTCTGAGTGCTTACACGAATTAGAGTTGAAATTATATACTCACAATGACCTTAATTAAAATATTTAAATCTACTCCTAATATCATTATGTAGTACTTAGTAGTGTAGTACTTAATAGTGTAGTACAATTAACTTGAGAAGCACAATACCTCTTCACTTAGCGATTTAATCATATTCTAAACACTGTTATACTCAAATCTTTTAGCCGGATAAAAACTTTAGATTGTAATAAGATAGTGTTTTTAAAACAAATACTAACATATTGTTAAAATAAATCTACATATTATTAAAAATATGATTATAAATTACCTAAGAATGTCTCGATAATCAAATATTCCACAAGGAATCTTTCTTCAAAAGTTTGGGCAAATAAGACTAGGCAATGCTGTTTCATGCCCAGCTAACAGCCCAAATATCCGTATTCCACTGAAGGAAAATTTTCAACAACTAATAATTAAAATTGGCCAGGCTGGTACAACCACCTCTCAGAGAGAATTGTGAGTAGTGGTAGATGAGATACATATGAAAAGAATATAAGATTAGTCTTTTTATTTCCTGAAAGGCATGGCTGAATTTTCTTATTCTTTCCATAGAAAGGCCTCTTGCTCAAATGAGTATTCCATAACCTCAGTTTTGAAAGAAACTTACTTCCCCCAATACATTTCCTTCATTCTCCACTTTCCCGCAACACATTGTAATGGATACTCATTTAAGCAAGATGCTTTACATGGAAGGTTTACATACATTCACAACATTGATTTTCAGGACTTCACATCAATCAGGTAAGTAGGACTTTTGCCTGTTTGTAGTATTAATTTATTTAAGAAAATTTTATAAATCTTATCACTCTTATATTCCAGCAGGTAAAAGAAAAGAATCTGTAGTAGTTAGGGTGCATGAATGGATTTTTTATTAAAAAATATCAAATCAAATCCCTAATAATTCTATAAAAGTTTCAAGTTCAAGGTGGCAACAGATTTTCTCATTATTATTCTTACCAATACAAAATCGAGATTATGGGTTGACACTCTCTGAAGTCCAGCATTTCTCTCCATCATCACTTAGTCTAGATGTAAACATTAGCCTCTGATTTCTCTTCAGATTCAAGTAATCAACCTGTGATATAAGATGCAAACTGTTAAAAGTTAAAGAGAGATACAAAAATGTCAAGACTTTTTTAAGGAAGATTTTTTTAACCTGATCTGGATCTAGAACCAGCAGGCAAAATGCATCAACTGGGCCAGTAGAAGAATCTAGAGAAAACTCCAGGGGTTGTTGCTCTAGACAGGGAAGATCTGGATTAGGGCCCAAGTACTGCAATCTTGATTTCACAGAACTCGCAGACCAAGATTTCTCTCTTATCTGCATCATGAAATTTAGAAAAAAAAATGAAACAAAATATGTAGATTGCCTTTAATAAGAGAGAGATAGATTGTTATTAAAGCATGATAGCAAAATCTATTAGGTAATGCATATAACAAAGTAATCTATTATGGAACTTAATTTTCATTAATATACAGCAGGGTGTAGGACTCTCCACTTAACGAAAACACCAGCTAGAAATAATGATCTCATTGCAGGTTTCTTGTCAAGCTATTTGGCATTTGATAATGTAAATATATTCAAGCAGAGCAAACATACACACACAAACACACAGAAGGACTAAGTTATCATAGTTTCCACATATCAGCCACCACGCTAGCAGCTTCAGGTGCAACTATGATCCACAATTACAGGTAATTAACAGGAAAAAGAAACTAAGCACCCCACCCTAAGCACAAAGGTTTTGAATATTTCAAATTGAGATTTAGCATCTCAAGAAGAAGCAGCAGAAGAACCCCAATTGCTGCAGGTTATGGAAAATCACAAATAGCCTATTACTCATAAAGTTAGGTTTGCCACAACCCTAATAGTTGAACTTGGATGTCAATGCCCTCCACTTGCTTAAACCAAAAGTTTCAACCATCCGCTTGGAATGAACTTCATGCCATGAATGTTTTAAACTTCAACACAACTTGAGTTCAGATATAGAAGGGTAATTCAATCATGGAATCTTGGGGGTTTCTTTTTTTTTTTTTTTAAATGTTCTTCGCATGTAATCAATTATGAATTTCAAAGGAAAACTATCAGATTTCTAATGGAATTTTATACGTCAAACACCAACCAATTCATCCAAGTCAATCTCAAAATACAGCATCAAGTTGCAAAACTGAGCAACACTATGCTATAAACAAAAATAAAATGGGTACTCGTATGCACTTTAAATTAGGGGACAACACCCAGTATCACCTGTAGTTTGACAGGATCAGGATCCAACCCATCAATAATATCAATTCTTCCATTGATCCGAAATTGCTCCCAAGAGTCGGTAAAGTACCAACATATCTGAAACATCAAAATTTCATCTGAAAATAACCAAACATACTTGAGCACTTTTAAAGTTTTGAATTCATTATATCAAACAATCCGATATGTATACCTCAAACACTAATTACCTCGGCAAATGGACAATGCTTAAGCTCTTCAATCTGCAAATTTTAAGCCAAAACTCAACACACACAAGAGACTGCAATAAAAATAGGATAAATTAAATAAAAACGAAACCAAAATTACAGAACCTTGCGAGTACGTGTGTCAGTGTTGATTTGAATCTTGTCACTGTTTTCTTGAAATCCTCTGAAAACCCAACAACCACTGACGGCGTTAATTCCATTTCTGTTTCAAACGAATTTGGTTCAATTGAGAGAATACCTGAAAACGACGGTGCGATTCGAAGGTCTCCCATTTAATCCAATCGTTGCCTGAAACCCAAACTTAGCATAAAATCAACTATGAACCCAAAAAAAAAAAAAATAATAACTAATGATAAACGTACAAGCTGAAAGAAAGACGAGTGCTTGAGGTGGGAGTTGGACTCCATCGCGTGTAACAGAAGCAGCTTCCATGGCGCTGTTGCTGTTCCCATTTGCTTCTTTCTACAAATTTTGCCCGTACTAGTTCTTTCTACAGATTTTGCTTTGGCTGAGCCGGGCCCGGGTATCCCAGCAGGGCGAGTTGATTTTTTTTTTTTAAAAGCCATCCGGCCGGTTGGCCCGCAGCTGCCTACGGACAACCCGGCGGGCCAACAATTGGCCCAAAAAAAAAAATCGAAAACCAAATTTACCTTTCAAATAGTCATGGGAGGGTGTTTTCGATCATTTTCTTTTCTTCCATTTTTCTCTATAAATAGGGTTTAAACTTCTCGTATTTTCTCACATCTAAAATTCTTTCATTTTCTTCAATTGCTCTTACTCTGAAAAAATTTCAAATCTCAGTTGTAAATTTGCTTTCATTTTAATTTTTATCATTTTTTACAATTTTCAATTCATATTTCCAAATTTCAATTTTCCTCATTTAATTCTTTTATATCCATTTTTTTTTTTATATAACTAGAATTGGTAGATATTTCCATAATCCCACCATCAATTTCGATGATGAAGAAAATTATCCTAGTTTCATTGAATTGAATAACACAAACGTAATAGAGTCAAATAGTCCCGCTTTCTCATTCTCAGAATTTGATACATCTCATAATATTTTCCTCCTCCCTCCTCATGCTGCTTCAGCTCCCATTGGTTCTAAAGGTCATTCTCGTAATCGTTGTCCTCGTCCAACTCCATATGTAGTAAAAGTGGGTTCATCAATTGCAGCTACTGAAACCAACAATAGGCACACATCAGATGTTTAGATGCATTTCATAAAGTTTTACAGGATATAAAATGGAGTTCAAGTGAAGAAAACAAGATGTAATTATTGTGGAAATATTTATAAAGCTGATGCAAGTAATGGTACTAATACTTTAAAAAAGCATGCAAATAAACATATAAATCATCATTGATATAGACAAATCAATCAAACTCAAATAACTAGTACAGGTAATACTTGGCGTTATAATTCTGATGTATATAGAAAATAATTAGCTTTATATATTGCTGCAACTGATCCCTATTAATAAGGCTGAAGATAAATATTCTGAAAGATTTATTAAAAATTCATTTTTACCAGAATTTAAAACTTATTCTAAAACTGCAACTATAAATGATTTAATAAAGTTATTTAACAAAATAAAATTAAAATTAAGAAATAAAATACATAGTTGTCATGTTAGTGTAGCTCTAACAACCGATATTTGGAGTGGTAGAGCTACACAAGATTATATTTGATAACGAATGTAAATTAAACAAATCTTTATTGTGATTTAAATCAATGGATGTAGATCATATTGGTCAATAAATTTATTTTAAAATTATTGAAGTTTTAGAAGAATATGATTTGGTTAACAAAGTAATAAGTCTAACTTTAGATAATACAAGTGCTAACAGTAGAGTTGTATATTTTTTTAAACTAAATTTTCTTTTTTATAACAATCTGAAGTTTTTTTACCAACGTTGTGCATGTCACATTATTGATAGAATTATGGATTGTTTAGCTTAGATTACTAGTAGTAATAGAAGAAATTATGAATTTAAAGATGCTTGTAAAACTTCAAATTTGTCTCCTAAAACTTTTGCATTAGACATGTCAATTAAATGGAATAATATTTATTTAATGTTTGATCAATGTTTACCTTTTACAAATTTAATTAGTTATTTTGTAGTAAATAAGAGGGGTCCTTATTTTTTAGTAGAGTGTGATTGACATATAGCTCACAATTTTTATTCGTTTCTTAAAACTTTTTATGTTACCACCTTAAAACTTTTTGATGTGTATTATCCTACTAGTCCATTGATAATACATACAATTTTAGAAATTTCAAATTTATTTGCTCGAAACAGAAACAATTAAATTTTAGTGGAACCAATAGAAGCAATGAAATTTAAATTAAAAAAATATTGGAAACTCATTCCTTTTATTTATTGTTTAAATGCTATATTTGATCCTAGACTTAAATTAGCGAGTTTAGAACAAGTTTTAGACATGTTAAATGAAAATTTACAAGAAGAAGACTATGCCAATCAACTAGGATAGATAAGTAAGTGTCTTGGAGAGGTATATTTGCAATATGAAAGTAGGTATGAAAACTTGCGAAGAGGCGCAATACCCAAGGAAGAACTACCAAAAGACACAAATGCACTCTTCGACTTTTGGAGTGCAATTGATAGGCGGAAGAAGACCCGAACCCAAAGCATAGCCTCCTCTTTAGAAGCATTAACAACGAATATAATCCTCTCCATGCAACTGTAGAGTAATGAGCTTCACCAATATTTAGGAACCCTTGACTTGCTACCAGCAGATTCACAAGAAAGAGCCAACTTTAATGTTTTAAATAATTGGAAAACCATAAAATATATTTTTCCGACACTATCAAGACTTACCCTAGATGTTTTCTCTGTTCTTGTCTCTACTGTCTCATCCAAACAAACATTTAGTGCAAGTGGAAGAATTTTAAATGAAAGGATGACTAAACTTTCACCAAAATTGATTAAAGTTCTCACACGTCTTCGAAATTGGGAACGATCGCGCCATCAGGATTAATACAAGGTTGTTGACGATATTTTAATAGAATCATTTCAATTTTGTAATTTAGATGATACAGCTGAGGGAGGTCATAATCAACCTTCAAATTAGTTGTTTGTAAATTGTAACTTTGTAATTTATAAATTAACTGTTAATTATTGCATTCGTTTTTCCTTACCAAGTTTTTGTCCCAACTGGGTTTTTCTTGGTAAGGTGTTTAATGATGCAATAATTGTTGTAATTTGTTATTTGTTATTTTATTTTTTGATAAATGAATAAATCTAATTTTTCTTATATTACAATTTAATTATATTAAAATTGAATTAATATTTGAAATGTTAACTAAAAAAATTTAATTTAATTTAATTGATATTTGAACAGTTAACTAAAAAAATTACACAAAAGACAAAAACATTAAAAAATTAAAATTACTTTTTTTGTGGGCCGTCAAGCCTGGCCAGCACAAAAACCTGTTTGGCTAGGGTTATTGGGTCGAGCTAGGTTGGCCCTTTTGAAAAAGAGGCAGGCGTAACCCAGTCGGCACTTGCTGGCGAGCTCGACCCAACTTGCAAATTTCCCAAGCCCAACGTGGGTCGGGCCATTTTTCCATCTCTAGCTTTGGCTTTACCATAAGTTATGGGGCTGTTTTACAATGCATTTTTTCTTTAACATGTTTATTATTTATTTTTGGAGTAAACAACTTTTTCCCACGCAGCGTTTACTTAGTGACCTTCCCACCCAAACAGTTTTAAAATACTATTTTTTCACTCAAAGTTAATATTCAGTTATTATTTAAAGTCGATTCCGACCGATTTCGTTGACGAAAATTCTCTTCATCACCACCATTTGAACCTCTGGTCTCCTCTCTACAAAACTCTTCTCACTATGACATTTGATTTCTTGTGGATTGTCAAACACCACAACGCTAGGGTTTCCTATTCTTAATTGATTTTTAACTAATTCTGACGATGAATATTCAATCGGTCACTAGACTTAGCACTATTAGATCTACCAATCTCTACTCTATAAAACTCATTTTACCCTGACTCTTGGTAACTCGCTAAATGTCGGCTGAGAAAGTGAAATGTGTTTTAAGTATTAATGGGATATAAACTTTGGCTAAAAAAGTGGTGTTTTGAAACTTTTTTGGTGAAAAAGTGTCATTAAGGTAAACTTGGGTGTGAAAAAGTCATTTACTCTTCAAGTTACTATTAATTAAACTATACGAGATATTCTTACCCATAATATAATCAAATTGAAAAGTAAAAGAGAACAATAGAAATATAAAGTTAATTTTTTTTATCTCTGTTTAAATGGAAGATAGAATAACAATATAACATTACATTTTTCTAATTTTTGGTTGTTATGGATTTGGAAGCCCGTCTTAGCTTTCTAATTTTAGCTCTATATGGATTAGTGAGCTCATGTCATGTAGCTCCTGCGACCCGCATGGGCAATATCAATTTAGTCCAAAAGCCATGTTCCGTTTTGTCATTAAAATACGGGAGTATTACTAACCCCCAGGATATCAGTAATAACCTTAAACCCCCCGCCGTTACCCAAACGTTATAAAATCTGTGACAAGGGTAGCAAATAAGTGAAACCACCTTGCCCCTGTCCTTTAACTTTATAAAATTAATATATATTATACATTTTTTTTTTAAACCGAGCTGTTCAAACCAACTTGTATTATGCACCTTATCTAATAATTGAACATCCTATAAACCCAAAAAATGAAATAAATCATAATGTTATTGTGATCTCAAAGTTTATTACAGACCCTACAAACTCAGGATAAGTGACAGTGTTACTGTGATAGCTGGTAAGGAACCCAGATTTCAGCCCAAAAACTTGAAAAGGGAGCAAAACTCCTGCTTCGCGAGGCATCTTCTTTTCTCTTCTATTTTTTATTATTCAGGCTGAAAATAGCTTCCTTTATTTCACAAATCAAATTATAATCTACACGACCATCAAATTCAAATCACTCCATAAAAACCAACCATTACAAATACAGAGTCACAACCATCTCTCAAAACTGAAACTATCCAACCATCATCTATCTCACAAAAGAAAAAACCCCACCCTAACATGTTACACCATCATCAATCTCATAATAAAGGGGAAAAAAAAAAAACAAATTATAACAAAGCAAATCCGAAGCTGGAACCCAATGAAAGAATTGCTACTGGTGTGTGGATTGGTTGTGCAACAGCGGCCACGTCACGCCCACTGTCGGTCCTAGCATAGGTCGCACAACAACCAAGCCATGCGGCGACTCTTTCTGCCATGACTATTCCAGCAAAACTTCGACTTTTCTCCTTGGCTATTCCGACAAAACTTCAACTCACCTCCAACGGTAGATAGTTGTTTTCCATATTTGGATTTGCTTTATTCATTAGAGAAAACATTTTGTGGGTTACATATTAGGTGTTCATGATGTTGAGTGGAAAGACTTGAATTCAATAGTAGAATATAGGGTTTCTTTTCAGGATTGATTATGAGAAAAGAAGAGAAATTTGGGGTTTCTTTTTCGAATA